GTGATAAATAGAGAATATAGATCAATAGAGAAATTATATATTACTAAAAACTTTTTATACTTGGAAATATTAAAAAAAATAAGGACATTAAATTATTGTTGCACTTGTATGTTGCTGGTATACTACCACTCCTAACTTTACTTTAGATCTAATTTTGACTTTGTGTTCATCTATTATAGTGAAATTATAATTTTATCTCAAGATAAAGTATTTTTGAGGTAATATTGTCAAAATAGTAAAATTTTTATCGTAAATGTTGGTATTCTTCGAAGTCATTAATTATTATAAATAGATAGTCTGAAATTGTTTTCTCTAACTTCTGATTTACGGCTAAGTTGTATGAAGAAATAAACTGTAACAAAAGCTATAAGCATGAATTTACAAATGAGAGTTCTTCAGAATTCTTCTCTCTCTTACTATTTTTTCCAATTATTATACAAGTATTTCAGAGGATATAGTTTCAATACTTTAAATATATTCTCTATCGTATATAAAAAATAGTTCGTAAGTGCAGTTAAGGGTTATTTAATAAGTGCTGGTACCTTTTTAATATAATATGTAGGATTATTTATTTTGGGTTCCTGACTTGTCTGCACAGTTTTAGTAAACCATGCCAAACATAACTATAAATCAATGTTTTATCTATTTAGTTTAAGATTTGACATTCAATATATCTGTTCAATAATTACTAAACATGCTAAAACACGAGAACTTATCAGAATAATGATGGATCTATAGCAAGTATATTTTGTATTAAATTATCTGCAATGATGGCGCTTATTTTTTTAAGGTAAGTGAAAATATATACAACCATTGAACAACTATTACAACCATTAACCATTGAAAGACTTTGCATCCATAAAAAGTCGCTGTTTGATGTGGTACCTGAACAACCATTACAACCATTAACCATTGAAACACTCTGCATCCATAACAAATCACTGTTTGATGTGGTACCTGAAGGTACAAAAAACTTGTATTTTAATTATAATGAAGAAGTTCTGATACTAACAGTTAATGGTAATTGCTACAGCTTAATGATTTTTAATTTTTTTGAATATATAAATGAAGATATGAAATGGAGTATATGATTCATTCTATAGGACGATAATATTTCAATAGGATAGGATATACCACAACACTTTTGGTTTAACTTTGTTATGTAAATCAACCACCATGATTTTGCGATTGTTACTATATATTCTTGAGGGTTCGCGTCTGTTACTATATATTCATGCCCGTAAAGTAATGGTTAAGCTGTTACCAGTTACTATAAGATATGCAGTGGAAAATGTTTGAATAAAATTTAATTGATATATCTGGGTGTTAATGGCAGGGTACAAAGAGTATATTGTAAATAAAAAACAGATCAAAATGCTTATAAGTAGTTCCTTTTATTTACATTTACTTTTTGGAACAAAAAATAGATAATCCTATATATTACACTTCATTGACTTTAAAATAAAATTTAAAATCTTAGTTTGCGGTTAAGAAATGTTTATGCTAATTTTCTTGGTAAATATATAATTTATTACATGAAAACAGTAATTGACGAACAATTACCATGTAAAATGTATGATTGTATATTTACAATTAGTAAGCAATAGTATTCAGTTATAATCTACTTAGAGACATAGTGCTAACCGCCTCAAAGTTAGAAGTTGCTTTGGATATTTACAACATCTTTGGGGTTCTTATAGTGGCAGTTCAAAGTTTTACTTTTCATTTTACAAATGCTTGATGCTTACAAATTAAGGTAACGTTTATTAAAAGTACCTATAATTAGAAAAAATGATTATTGTATGATTATTATATGTCATAAATAATGGGTCAGAAATTATTATTTCTTACTTATAGCCGTATAGATAAAATTATCCGACCGAGTATGATCTGAAATGATCGCAATAAAAGAGCGATTCTGATTTAATATTAATTTTTAATTATTAGTATTCAGCTAGTGTTCGCGGCCTCATATCGATAGATATATACCTCATACGTTCAAATACAATTATAAATTTTAATGAAAAATGATTAAATAGCTAGATTATATAATTTGTTAAATAATGTATAAGATTCGTTTGCCTAAAGAAAGTTTCGTTATAAAATAATATTTTCAAAATTAATCCACATAAGTTCTTATTTCATTTAAAATAAAAATTATTCATTGAGTTAAAAATATATTGTATTAAAAATACAAATAAAAGGAATGTAATTTGCTGAAAAAAATAATATAAAATATTTATTGCGATAAGATTGTTCACATGCTTTTTGTTATCAAAACATTTCATGTGAAAGTTATTAATATTTTTAATTATATGCAATAGTTGAGAAAATAAAAAAACATTAGAATGCTGTTGGATAAGTCAGTGATAAATGAAATGCGTTGATTTTTTGCTTATTTAAGTATTTTCTTTTTGATAACGTAGAATTTGAGCCTCAGAAACGTACACTTGCTGCAATGGTGTGAACATTTTTTGGTACTTTTGGAAAAGAAGATTCTTTAGGGCACAGATTATATCCGAATTGGATTGGAATTTCTTCTTAGCATATTATTTAATTTAAATTTATTAATAAATAAAAATCAAATAGAGCACAATATTGCATTATAATTATTATTTAATAACTTAACTGGCAATCCAAAAATGCGAAAAAAATATATGTCTTATCTTTTTTTTGCTGATGAAAACGACTTCGTCTTTTTTAGAGCAAGCTTCTCATAAACAGTTCACTTTTTCTATTGCTTTTTTCACAGTTGTTTTCGAAGTATGTTATAATACTGAATATAACTATTATAATAATATACCTATATAACTATTTCTGCTGATTAAATTGTCTTCGTATACCCCTATTGGCGTATATTCATTGGACTTTTATTTTCGGTCTTTTGTATAGTGGTATATGTACGTATGTACACGCAGACACTATTCAGATTCATTTTAAAATATTTAAAAAGACTACTGGAAATAATAACAGGTATGTTTTTGATTAAGTGTAAGAAATAGTGGTACCCATCTAGCTTGTAACTTTTTTAACCGCAAATGTTCTTGAAAATTTATGAATGTTATCACTTGAAATTTTTATTACAATACATTATCAATCTCGCACAGTTTTCTTTGTTGATCTTCAATCATTAGATTAAGAAATTTATTTATAAATTTATAATAAATAAATATAATAAATTTATTATGTAAATCAAAAAAGTACATAATAAATGGAAAATTTATTATAAATCTGGCAGCTCAGCGTTCTTTGTGGTCAAATGTGCACATATGGAGCATATACTAATAAATCACATATAACGCTGTTGGTTGCTGCGGAACTTTGGGGTACAAATCACCGTAATAAAACTCTGTAAAGCCATTCTCTTCACTTAGCTTCAATGATCATCTTTACTTATCGGAGCTCTTTCACTTGATGAAATCCAGTAAAATCAACAATAGGCATAGTTGTTACCTCATTAGAGCATTTCGGTCACTCAGCGTTGTTGGTGGTCATATGTGTACGTCTCTAATTCCGGTATACTACACATCACGCATTCAAATATGATGGCACAGAGTTTTTATATTGTTTACATAAGTTTCGTATTAGAAATGATTATTTTAAAAAAGTTCTGCTTAATCAAGGTATGAAATTTCACCAAAATTCACAAAAACTTATACATGCACAATAACTAATACTATATAAATACGTTCAATATTGATAAATCTAGACTAAAATTTAATTTTACATTGTTCACTTAAGTATTGATTTGACACTAAAAAAAACATTTATTTGAATTTTTAGTGTCGTTTTAGTGCCACTTTAATGTCTTTAGTGACTTATTTTAAGTGTAAATTTCAAAACTATTCCTAAAGTTCTTAATCTTGAAAGATTCTGATAATATATTACAGAAATATTTTAAAATTTATATTAAATGCAGTCTATTAACAACCTTTATATGCAATTTTCATGATTTTACTACTTTTCTACGGGAAGTTACACTTAGAGATATATCATGATATATCTGATACATATATATCATGATATATGTGATATATAGATATATCAAATAATTCAATTGTAAATGCTACAGCTGGTTTATGATTTCGTTCTAATATAACACAGCAAGTGAATTTATTAATATACTTTCACAGCAAATTAACAAAACTGCAAGTTCGAACATATAAGTCAAGTATGGCTTTGGGTCAGTTGGTTAATGTGCATTGACTCTGAGCTTCAAATTTGGCAGTGCACGAGTTCAATTCATGGTAGTTGCAGTCACATAATTTTATTTACGAATAATTAAATACAAAAAATAATTCCAAAATCACATATGATGGTTATTTGGCAATACTCGAAACAGTTGTATAGTTAGTCAAAAATTAAATTAATTAAAATAATATAAATAAAATTTTTGCTGTTATAGTTCACTACTTTTCAAAACCTCTCTGTTTACATTAATACCTAATAAAAGAATTTAATTTCATGTAATATAAAATGTATTGGAAAAGGTCCATCATCAACAAATATGTTATTTTTTGTTTTTCGGATCACACAATCATGTCATGAGGTTAAATTATATAGGTATAAAACTTGTTTAACTTATTAGGTACCAGGTAATTTCAGATTTCAAATTTTACCGTGAATTTAATAGTTAATAGTAAAATAAAACAGGTTTTAGTAAATGAGAAAAGTTTAATACTTATTTGAGAGATTATTCTCACTTTATTTTTATCTAAAAAATATAAAATATTCTTTGTATATTAAAAAGTATTCAAAGCTAGTTGTGTGTTGCACCACGCGGTGGTCTGAAATGGTCAATGTTTGTCTATATTTCCGTTTACGTTTAACATACATTATCCAAATCTTAACGCAATTAATTTGTTTATCTAAATTAATTAATAATTAAAATATCTTATTGCCTTACTGACCATTTCTTTTTAGATGGACGAGGGAAAGTGACGGTTTAGTATATTGTTTGTATAAAATTAAAGCATGTATAAAAAGAAAAAAATACTTACTAAAATTTCGATATGCAAATTAATAACACATTTCAGCACATTGCGAACACGATCTCGCAGTTTTTCGACTGTTAACAGATGTCTCTTCATACTGCTAATTGATGATATATCTGATGCCATGTTTTAGTGTCTGCCAGAGGTTTTTGCTTTCAACTTGTTGCAAATTTCAGTTTAATTTTTTTTTTCGTTCAGAATTTTACGCTACAATTTATGAAATTTTTTTTTTTTGTGTTTTTGATCTTGAAACTATGCATTCAATGCATGAAACCATACAAATATAGCCTAAAATCACAATTCATACAAACCAACGAGCAGTGAATCACATAACAGGTTAGCGTAATGTCATTCTAGAATATGAATAAATTCCCGTACGGAATATTGTACGCTCGAATAGTGCACGAAAACGTAAAAGTACCGCGTAGAATTTTCTTTCATTTCGGAACAAAAGCGTAACAATGTCAACTATTCGCAATGTGGAACCTTTTCGACAATGTACACCTCACGGCAGGTTGCAATGTAATCATCACAAATGTAGCAACATTTTCAATGATTTTTGTCTGATTTGGAACTCGAACACAAATCTATTTATCTCATCATAAATATTCAACGTGTACTGCTTTAGAATGCCATTAGATAGATAATTTTTTGCAAAATTCTGAAGAGAAAACTAGGATGTTTGTATTTTTAGAAATTTGGCTAATTGACTACGAGTATTTCGATTCGAGCCGACGGTATTCGTATTCGTTCTATGCTAAAAAATCGAATTATAAAATAAAACAATTGCCCATATTTGTCATCGCAACGCTTCTTAATGAGCTTTTCCGGCGTGTGGTTCTGCCTCAACTGATTGTAGATTTGTGTGGAGCGGTTCAGTCTGCTGTGCATTGCATTCTATGTGCGGGTCTTCTGTAAGTATTTTGTTATTGTTATTTATACTGTTTTGATACTGCCTGTCAACAGTATCGCTCGCAGCTCTCATATTTCTCATTTTCGTTGGGGCATTATTGTTATTGTTGATTTTTCGTTTGGCTCAATAGCAGCTGACAAATGACGCTTCGCTGGTTATATGATTAGATACATTTAGCATTTATGTAGAGCCACAATTTTGTGGCGATTGTCAATTGTCAATTGTTGTGTATACAAAAACCAAATAAATATAAAAGCGAATAAAATAAACAAATAATTTGTGTTTAATTTTTTTATATTGAGTCAGCAGGGAATTCGTGAGAATAAATTTTAGAAGTCTTCTGAGACTTTTGTGATTAAATAAAGCTAAAACTTGTTTCTGTTTATAAAAAATTAGATTAAAATTAAAAAATTTAAACAAAAAAATTATCTGCATACTGAATTATTTTTATTTTTGAAATTTTGGTTTTTTTTTAAAACATAATTAAGCGGTACAACCGTTATCTGGTGAAATAAACCAATAATAATATA